CCGTTAAATCGTGAAAAGCTTCGATAATTTATTGTTTGTACGTGGGTGAAAATTACAAAATGCCGTAATTATTATAAAATTAGAAGAACTATGATTGACTTATGGTTAAATAAAAACTGTTAACATTTTTTATAGGTTGACTCGTTTTGGAGAAAACCTGAGGTGACGTAAGTCCCTGTAGGGGGTCACATCGACCGAGGGGTCGATGAGGTGTTTTTCGACCGCACCTGCCACATGGCCTTATCAGTCGTGCTGTTTCTCTTTCTATGAAATGTGACAAACCGGACCTATGAACCATAAATATTTTTAATTATATATAGATGTTTGTGTTATTTATTGAAAATAATGTATTTATTTGCGTGACTGGAGGCGCTTGTCCCTAATTTCTCTAAGGAATATCGAGCACTCTGGTGAAGAGTGAATGTAATTTATTGGTACATTATGTTTAGTTATCTAATTGACCAAAGAATATGTAAGGTCTTGGTTGAGGTGAAAAGTTAGTGTCACGAGTGGGATTCGAACCCATTTCATCTCAACCAAGACCTTACATAAAAAGGATAATTAATTGAAAGAAGTAATTTGGTCAATTAGACCACTAAACATACTGGATTAATATTTAATTAGTAAAACAAGTATCACTCCACTAACAGCTCCCCGTGGCCACTTCATAAGTCGGTGAGAATGGAATCCTGATTACACGACATTTGAAAAATGTCAAAAAAATGAGGGAAAATTCGAAAGGTTGTACTTGTAGGTAGAGGTGGGGAGTTGGTGTCCGAGTGGATCGAAGTCACAATAGCTCAAGTGGTTACAGCAGCGGCGTAATTAGCCGAAGATCGTGGGTTCGAAATCCGCTTGTGACAGTGACTTTTTATCTCAATCGAGACCTTACATCAAAAGAATAATTAATTGAGAGAAGTAATTTATTAGCCTAAATTGGGGGTGTAGTGGCTACTTGTAGTTACCCCACTTTACCGCTAGATGCCACTACCACTTATGGAATGTTCCCGCCCTCCACTCTGCAGCCAATCAAAGTAGAGCTCTTCCCTATATAAGCAGGGGCATTGCCCCGCTGGAATGGACTCGTCAACTCGATGAGATCTCACCAATCTCTAATGTAACCGACATCGGCAACAACGGCAGCAGACTCGTCGACACGACGAGGTCTCATCCATCTCTAATCAACAACAGCCTCGTCAGCCCGACGAGCTATCACTAATGGAACACCGTCGACTACATCAAGGGTACTCGCGGCTATAGTTTGATTCTCGCCTTCTATGCACAGCCGACTTGGCTACAAACGCCAAAAGCTGCTCTCGGCTAATTGCTGCACCCCAGTACCTTCGGCCTCTGTGGAGACAACCGACCCTCCTGACCTCAGCCAACGGTTTACTCTGTCACACACCACAATCAACAGCGCCGCTCGCACGGTCTCGGCCTTATACGTTCGTCACGGCTACTCTCAATACAACACCTGCCCTTTCAGGACCACAAAACTCCCAGTCACTAAAACCTTGTATAAAGGGGCATATCCCCCAATTACCCCAAGGAATATCGATGGATTCTGAGATAGTGTGAAAGAAGTCTTATATGTGTGAAAGTAATTTATTAGCTTGTAGTGGCCACTTGTAGTTACCCCACGTTACCTCTAGTTGCCACTACCACTTATGGAATGTTCTCGCCCTCCACTCTGCAGCCAATCAAAGTAGAGCTCTTCCCTATATAAGCAGGGGTATTGCCCCGCTGGAATCAGACTCGTCAACTCGACGAGATCTCACTAATGGAACACCGTCGACGACATCAAGGGTACTCGCGGCTTTAGCCTGATTCTCGCCTTCTATACACAGCCGACTTGGCTATAAACGCCAAACGCTACTCCCGGGTAATTGCTGCAATCCTGTATCTTCGGCCTCTGTGGAGTCAACCGACTCTTCGGACACACCACAACCAACGGCGCCGCTCGCACGGTATCGGCCTTATACCTTCGTCACGGCTTCTATCAATAAAACACCGGCCCTTGTCAGCGCCACTAAACTCCCAGTCACTAAAAGCTTGTACAGAGGGGCATATCCCCCAATTACCCCAAGGAATATCGGATGGATTCTGAGGTAGTGTGAACGAAGTCTGGAGTGTGAAAGTAATTTGTAAACGCGAATGAAGGAGCATATCCCCAATTACCTCGAAGATAATCGGATGTACTCTGAGGTAGTGTAAATGAATTGAGGTGTACGAAGGAAATTATTAGCGTGAATGGTGGGGCATATCCTCAATTACCCCAAAGAATGTCGGATGGATTCTGAGGTAGTGCGAACGAAGTCTGATGTGTGCATGTAATTTATTAGCTTCTAGTGGCCACTTGTAGTTACCACATGTTACCGCTAGATGCCACTACCACTTATGGAATGTTCTCGCCATCCACTCTGCAGCCATTCCCTATATAAGCGAGGGCACTGCTCCGCCGGAATCAGACTCGTAACCCGACGAGATCATACCAATCACTAATGTAACCAACAGCGGCAACAATGACATCAGTCACGTCAACCTGACGAGCTATCACTAATGAAACACCGTCGAAGACAGCAAGGGTACTCGCGGCTTTAGCCTGATCTTGCCTTCTAAACAGCCGACTTGGCCATTAAAGCCAACTGCTGCCCCTCGGCTAATTGCTGCACTTCAGTACCTTCGGCCTCTGTGGAGTCAACCGACTCACGGCCCTCCGGACCTCAGCCAACGGTTTACTCTGTCACACACCACAACCAACGGCGCCACTCGCACAGTCTCGGCCTTACCTTCGTCACGGCTTCTCTCAATACAACACCGGCCCTTATCAGGGCCACAAAAACTCCCAGTTCCACTAAAAGCTTGTATAGAGGGGCATATCCCCCAATTACCTTAAGGAATATGGAGTACTCTGGGCTAGTATGAATGAATGTGATTTATAAGTGTGAATGAAGGGGTTTATCCCTAATTACGCCAAGGAATATCGAGTATTCTGAAATAGTGTGAACAAAGTCTGGTGTGCGAATGTAATCTATTAGCGTGCATGGAGGGGCATATCTCCAATTACCCCGAGAACTATCGAGTACTAAGCTCAAATATCATTAGTTCAAGGATGGTGCTGAACTGCAAAACCAAAACATATTAGGTATGCAGAATAAAGTCAGCCTCTGCTGGGTCCCAGGACACATGGGAGAAGAAGGCAACGAGAAAGCGGACACCCTTGAAGAAAAGGGCCTGCTACACCGCTGACAGGACCTGAACCCTTCTGTGTCATAGGAACCCACACTATTAACGAATATCTCAGACAGAAGAACAAATAGAAAATTAGGGAAATATGGCATTCACTCATTGGACACAGACAATCCAAGAATCTTCTAACCAATTTTGGAAGGAAAGAAATTACAGAATGTGTCAAGGGAAGCAGGAACAATAATCCAAGATGGCACATGCAGATTCTGCAAAGAGGCAGAAGAGACACCAACACATCTACCAACAAACTGCGGACCTACACTAGCCCGCAGGAGGAAATGTTTTGGGATGTATAATGTGGCCATAGAAGAGCTTCAACCGTTGAAACAGGTTGTTTTTCTTCTTGATGAAATAAGACTCACGATGTGCTTTAGGCAGAGCAGGTGGATGCAATGTCTCTTAACGGGCGCAGTATACTATACCCTGAAACTATATCTACATCTACATGTAATTTATAAGTGTGAATGAAGAGGTTTAACTCTAATTAGTCTCTTAAATAGTGTGAAAGAAGTCTGGTGTAATTTATTAGCGTGAGTGAAGGGGCATATCTCCAATTACTCCGAGAACTATCTAGTACTCTGGAATCGTGTGAATGCTAACCAGACTATCATGTTTTTAGCTTGTTTCTATGTATTTGTGTTTGCTATTTGTGTCATTTTATCCACAATTGACGAGGCCCTGAGGTGAATACCGGCTAGTAATAGCATAAAGAAATGACAGTGTTGGTACCGTAATATCATAGAACATAACTTAATTCCAAAAAGAAAAGGAGGTTTAAAATGCGAAAAACGTGATAAGGACAAGAAGAGAAAAGCTAAGATCTAGAGGGATAGAAGGAAAAAAGATTTCGCATATTTCTAAAATATAGCACCCGCTCGTTGAGAAAACAAGAACTTTTATCGGTGAAACAAAAAGAACTTCAATAAAAAATCTCCTAATTTGGAAGTTTTACGTTAAAAGGTATGCTTAATGGCTTAATACAAAAAATGTTTCTAATCCGCTTTCCACTCTTAAGACTCTATAAAATTAACTAATCTCAATGTTGACCGAATTAGCAAAATAACTAAAATTCTTTTGGCTTCAAAGAACGATTATTTGAATATGTGCAAAAGTTAAGTGTTTTGTTTAGTACGATGAGTATCGGGAGGGTATGGCGGATGGGGTGAAACTTCTAACTTTTCTTTGGTCCATAATCCCACATGGGGCCTGGCATTATCGTGATGAAAGAGTACACTTTTTTTTTTCTTTTTTTTTACCCAAATGCTAGTCGTAACAACATCGATGAGCGTTGGACTTAAGTATAAGTTAATAGTGTAAAGTCCCGTCCCACCAGATATTTTTATCCTTGAATCTTTACTTTTCGAAGTTTGTGCGGGCGAGCCTGGGAATTTTCATGAACATTTGTTCTTTGATTTATTCGTCCCATTTATTTAAAAATAAAGATAAGAGCAACTAAAGTGGTGTTTTGTGGTTGATCAGCTTCTTTCTGATATTAATAAAGGTTATATATTAACATATTAAGTGGAATTAAAACCTTTAAAGTGTGGTTCAAAAGTTGAAAACAGCAATAATAATGTAAACGGAGTAAATGAGTTTAGCATTCATTATTTTTAAAAAGTCATTATTTTCTTGACAACCTCGTTTAAAACACCTCATTGGGATACAAAAATGCATTTTGGTGAAAATAACCTGCCCTTTTTTACCACTTTTATTTCCTGATATTTCATTTTTGACAATATGTGTTTTTACAGATTAATTACTTGAGGTACAAAGCAGAATTGATCGGAATCGGGCCATCAGGAGCTATAGAAACGCGCGTCGCACCCATAGCAGTACGTCTAGTGATACACATCGATTTCGGCAACACAAGGAAAGTTTACTTGGATCGATTTAGAATTTGCCATGCAGGGTAATTGCGTTTTTCTATCCTTTTACTTTTTAATCCAAAAAGATATTTTACATGAAACTAGCTGAAAGGTCCCAAGGGCATCTCTCAAGGATCAAAAGCTACTTTCTTCTATCCTACACTTTTCCTCTTACTTCCAACTTCCTTAAGGTTCTCTACAGACAAGTATATCTGGCTGGCCAAACGGATCTCAGCTCTGAAATTTTAACAATCCTCCAAATGCTATTTTAAATAATTTTTTCAATTAATTAAGGTTTTAAGTTGATATAAAAAAGTCAGTGTCACGAGCGGGATTCGAACCCACGACCTTCAGCTAGATACGCCGCTACTCTACCACTTGAGCTATCGTGACCTCGATCCACTCGGACATCAACTTACTATCTCAACCCCACCTTTTGAGTTTTCCCTTCTCCCCCCCCCGGTTTCTATTTGATTATCGGCGACAAGTGAAATGGCCACGGAGAGCGTTAGTGAAGTATACTTCATTTTAACTTATTAAATTCACTAGTTTTCGTGGTCCGCTTGACCAATTAATATCTTTCAATTAATTAAGGTTTTTAGTTGAGATAAAAAGTCGAAGTCACGATAGCTCAAGTGGTAGAGTAGCGGCGTATCTAGCCGAACATCGTGGGTTCGAATCCCGCTCGTGACACTGAATTTTTTATCTCAACTAAAAACCTTAATTAATTTAAAGATATTAATTGATCAAGCGGACCACGAAAACTACCGAATTTTCAATAATGTTATGACTATTTCCTTCAGTCATTCTTGCATTACGTTCATATTGGTAAATCTCCAGGACCCACCACTATAATTTATAAAACTATTTTTTCCTATAATTTTTCCACTTAGCATTCTCACCATTTACACATATCAAATTAACTAATTGTGTAACAGTTGAACAATAAATTATAATATATAATGTGTGGTGATTAGTGACCGTTAATCGATATTTATTTAGAAATCGTGAAATGCGGTCTGGCGTGATGTAGGTTTCAGGAAAACGTTTTCTTTATCGTGCCAACGTTTCGATCTTTATTGAGATCATCTTCAGGGCCTGGGATTTACAAACATTGTTTACATATAACAATTTTTCCACATCCAAAATATAATTGTTATATGTAAACAATGTTTGTAAATCCCAGGCCCTGAAGATGATCTCAATAAAGATCGAAACTTATTCAGATATCGATTAACGGTGAAGATGATCTCAATAAAGATCGAAACGTTGGCACGATAAAGAAAATGTTTTTCTGAAACCTACATCACTCCAGACCGCATCTCACGATTTCTNTTGAGATCATCTTCAGGGCTCAAAGTGTTTGTCTTCTGTGTAATTGTGCCATTCTTGCGTGTCGTGTCGAGAGTGCCCAAGAATGGCACAATTACGCAGAAGGCAAACACTTTGAGCTGTGAAGATGATCTCAATAAAGATCGAAACGTTGGCACGATAAAGAAAATGTTTTTCTGAAACCTACATCACTCCAGACCGCATCTCACGATTTCTAAATAAATAATATATAATTAATCAAAACACTCACATAAACAGTGATATTGTTTTAAATATTGCTAAATTTATATGTTAAAGGAATTTTGTAAAAACGTGATTTTTCATAACATATGTTGTTATTAAAGATTTTTCCTTTTTATTCAGGAAGATCAAAGTCAAGGTCACTGGAATGGGAAGAATTATCGATAGCATCATCTCAACAATAACCACCTGGGTAGTCGCTATGTTTAAAAACCGAGTCCTCTCATTGGTTGAAAGAAGGATTATCAAACACAGCAGGGAGGCTTTAGGCAACGTGACCATCGATGATATAATCACAGGACAACTGCCATTTTAATATTTAATTATATTAAAAATATATATATTTAAAACAATATATTAATTAGAAATTATTGGTTAAAGTATCAATATTGGCCATTAGCAAATACTGATAACATTGATTTGTGAGAACAAATGAATGAAATATGCCTTTATATTTTTATAATTTAGTTAAAATATAATTGTATTGTACAAATGTGCTATAAAGTACTACATTTTTTTTCAGCCTTATGTGAGTTTAATATGTTTTATTTTCGTTAGTTATACGTTTATTATTAATTACTATTTCCAATTTTTTTATGCAAAGATGGTTGAAAAGAAAATTAGTGTCACAAGCGGGTCGAACCCAGCCAAAGGTCACGGGTTCAAATCCCGCTCGTGACACTAATTTTCCTTCTCGACCATCTTTGCATAAAAAATTGGATTTAATATTTATTAAGGTTAAAATGTACTTGAAAAAATAATAGAAGAGAAAATTTCATTTTTGAACTTATTTGAACTGGTATGTTACATGTAGATAGTCCTGATTGGATTGAGGCAAGATTTAAGCTAGACAACCTTAAAATATTGCGGTGAATCAATACAAAAATGACCAAATTAATTGTTAATAATAATAATTAACCTCTTCTTACATTTGACAATCTGTAAACTTGCTCGAGTTTTTGTCTGGATTTTTTTTGTTAATTGTGTTAACAATTTTAATATTACAAACAAACGCTGTGCTTTTTACACAAAATAAAAGACTAGGAAACATGCCAATCCCCATGGGAGATTTCGCCTTGTTATTACATAGGTTGAACAATTTAAAAATTGTTAATCTTAATAGACACAGTACCTGAACGACTAAAAACTGTTTGTTCTTTAGGATGGAGTCCAGACCAACACAACGCAGTTTACGTGGTCCGCTTGACCAATTAATATCATTCAATTAATTAAGATTTTTAGTTGAGATAAAAAGTCAGCGTCACGAGCGGGTTTCGAACCCACGACTTTCGGCTTGATACGCCGCTACTCTACCACTTGAGCTATCGTGACTTCGATCCACTTGGACACTAACTTCCCATCTCAACCCCACCTTTTGAATTTTCCCTCCTTTTTGCCATTTTTCAAACGTCGTGTAATCTATTTGATTCTCGGCGACAAATGAAATGGCCACGGAAAGCTTTAGTGAAGAAATATTTCATTTTAACATTAAATTCACTAGTTTTCGTGGTCAGCTTGATCAATTAATACCTTTCAATTAATTAAGGTTTTTAGTTAAGATAAAAAAGTCAGTGTCACGAGCGGGATTCGAACCCATGATCTTCGACTAGATACGCCGCTGCTCTCCCACTTGAGCTATCGTGACTTCGATCCACTTAGACACTAACTTCCCATCTCAACCCCACTTTTTTCCATTTTCAAAGCCGAGGTCGTGGGTTCGAATCCCGCTCGTGGCACTGACTTTTTTATCTCAACTAAAAAACTTAATTAATTGAATGATATTAATTGGTCAAGCGGACCACGAAAACTAGTGAATTTAATAAGTTAAAATGAAGTATACTTCACTAAATCTCTCCGTGGCCATTTCATTTGTCGCCGAGAATCAAATAGGTTACACATTTGAAAAATGGCAAAAAGGAGGGAAAATTCAAAAGGTGGAGTTGAGATGGGATGTCGAAGTTAATGTCCGAGTGGATCGAGGTCACGATAACTCATGTGGTAGAGTAGCAGCGTATCAAGCCGAAGGTCGTGGGTTCGAATCCCGCTCTTGACACTGACTTTTTTATCTTAACTAAAAACCTTAATTAATTGAACAACGCAGGGTTTTCAAAATCTTGTGAGATCTCAAATTGATTTAAATATGTTAGAAATAGATCATTTTCCAACCAATACAATGATAAATAAAATCACAAGAAAGTGAATTAGGTGGAATAAAAAACAACGAAAATAAATTCAAGCAGGTTTCAAAATATAGGATAATAAAGTAACACAAGAAAATACCATTCTTACATATTGCCTAGCAGTTTGTACATTACATAATTGTACAGAACAAGAATTAGTCGAGAAAGACTTTTACAAAAGGGTAGAATTCACTGATGTTATAAGAAATGTTCAAAATTGAACACTGTTGATCTATGTGTGGTGATTAGTGACCGTTAATCGTTAATTATTCAGAAATCGTGAGATGCGGTCTGGTGTGATGTAAGTTTCAGAAAAACATTTTCTTTATCGTGCCAACGTTTCGATCTTTATTGAGAACCTCTTCATGGCCTGGGTTTGACGAGTCTGATTCCAGCGGGACAGTGCCCTTGCTTTTATAGGGAAGAGCTGCAGAGTGGAGGGCGAAAATATTCCATAAGTGGTAGTGGCATCTAGCGGTATCGTGGAAACTAACTAGTGGCCACTACAGTGCAAAAGTGACTTGAGCACTCTTGCTTTCGTTCACTTTGATTCTGCAATTATGGTATCAGCCTTCTAATAGAGTGAGGTGACTTTGTAGATAGATGAGTTGGAGTGACAAGTGAGGATAACCATGTCAGCAGCAAATGTGGAGACTGTGTTTGGAAGTAGGAATGTCAGCGTTGTAAATTCTAAAGAGGTTCAGGCTAAGGATACTTCCTTGAGGGACTCCAGGTTTTATTGGAATATCCAAGGAAAGGGATGTTCCCTGACAGACAATATCGGTTGTCAGGTAGGATTGAAGGATAAGATAGGTACTGGGAAGAAACTTCTTGAGTTTCCACAGTAACCCAAGTACCATTCCCAGCGAAAAGCCTGGACTATGTCTAGGAAGACACCCGAGCAATATTGTTTTCGCTCAAGGGAAATGACAAGTCTCTGCCACATGGTGCACCTATTGCACAGTGGCTTGGGGAGAGCGGAACCCAAACGAATGGGACGATAAGGTTTTTGCATACTGAAGAATAGGAATTAGTCTTTTAAAGAGGAGTTTTTCAAGGATTTTCGTTTGAACAGATAGGAGACTGATGGGATGATAGCAACTAGGAAGTTGGACTGGTTTGTTAGGTTTTGGAATCATTCTAATTATAGCATATTTCCACTGAATTTGGAAATAAGTTGTCTGAAGAACTGAGATGTATATATATGTGAAGTAAAGTTGCCCGTTTCTAGGTAAGTTTCGCAACATTTTAGGAGTAATTAGGTCATATCCTGGAGCATCGTTGGGTAAATTTTTGATGGCATACACAATGTGAGAAGGACTAAAGGCTTTACATGGAAGTAGTAAGTGAAAGGAGTAATCCTATGTGAGGAGGTAAGAGTAAGTCCCTTGGTGATACCAAAGGTTGTTGTGGAATTACTGCAGTCCAAGCAGCTCTTTAACAGACTTAGTTAAGTGTTCGTCTGCAGCATCAAATCTTTAGGTGGTTGCTTAAATTGATATATCTATCTAAGATGTCTCTGAACATGTTCCAATGAACAGGTCCTGTAGTCAAAGAAAGTGGTCATCTAATCAGTAGTGGTTGGGAATTCTGGGTTAGTAGAACTGGGCTGTGGTCAGAGGATAAGTCTTGAAAAGACAGGATGTCTATATGAGAAGTGGAAATACCAGATGTAATAAAATAGTCTAGAGTATCGGATTGTTTGTGGAGAGAAGAACAATAGGTACCTGAGGAGGGAAATAAGGGAATAGAACGTTGTGGATAGTGCGTTGAGAAGAGTCTGCCCATGTGGGTTGAATACCCCACTGTGGGTGCTTGGCATTATAGTCAGGAAAGGAAAAACTAGAGATTGGAAAAAGGAAAGGAATTGCTGATTGGAGAATGGTTTCTTGGGAAGACAATACACAGCTGCTATATGGGGAAGAAAATGTGTCCAAGGTGACATAAGTGAACATTAAGGAGTCAGGAGTACTTGGGTTAAGGAAGTGAAACAGGGAATTACGAATAAGGATTGCAATTCCACAGGTCTTTTGGCAGGACGGTCGGTCCGATAGGTCAGGCCATCGTTTATTGAGAAGTGTGAAGAATTGGTAAAGTTAGTTTCCGAAATCGCTGCCATGTCAATACATTTGTCATGAAGCAGTACGTCAAGTTCTTGTCTATGGGTTCTTAAGCATTCCAAAGAAGGATAACTAAGGATTGTTGAGAAGAAGGAATTCTTGAGATAGTTTAGGCAGAATTCCACTAACTACAGTTGTAAGAAGGGTTATCAGGAGTTAGGAGGGATTTAGTCATTCAGGTTGTGAGGATGGACTTGATATCAGTTGAGTTCTGAGTACATCAAGGTTAAAGTCACCAACCAGTATGTATGTGTGTGCACGCACGTATGTGCATACCTATGTAAGAATGGAGAGTAAGATAGAGAAGGAACGAAAGAAGAAGAAAAATTGATAAACAAAGCTAATTTTGAAGCCAGAAGTAATTAATAAGTAGTTTTTGAGGATAAGCAACAATTTCACAGTGGATAGCCGGGTAGCGGGCCCGGTGGGTGGTATCCACTCCTGGGGAACCTCGGGTCAGCACTAGGACCCCTGATCTGGGAGGCATGTGGATGATAGCAGTGGCGTGCACATCCCACTGAAAGATCGGCTGCTCAAGCAAAACATTAATGTTCAATGCAGGTATTACCCGATGGGTGGAATGCCGTTGACTGGGCGCCTGTGCCGATCAAGGCGAAACATGATCCTATGAGATTGAAAAAAAAAAAAACTAATGATAGAAAGGACATTCTCAAACTCACTAACATCAAAGAATGGAGAGAGGGGTCTATAGGTGAAGCCAATTAAAAGTTGGGACAGAAGAACTATTTTAGAGGAAAGGCTAGATTTTTATCTAAATGCCAAGTCCACCACCTGTTTTTGTAATTTATCATTTCTAATAAGTCTGCTCAGAGGGTATACTTGGCTTTAGCTATGCAGCTAGATAAGGCTATGAAAGTCAAAACATTTTGCTAGTATAAAATATTAGGAAAGTTTTTGCATAGCATTTGAGCATTGAAGTAAGCAAAAGTAAACTTATACTGGAAGATAAAAAGGACCTAATTTATTTACATACAGGGACAAATGCAAACGAGGATATTGACAGCTGATAAATTAGGCACGAGCGATATGTAGCTGAGAACAAGCAAAGAAAAATACTACCCCCCTACCACAAGTACAGATCCAGGCGGAGGACTAGGACTAGGCGGCTAGGAGAACTATTAACTAGAAAATGTTACACTTACAAATTACTACAGTTATTT